TTCCAAACGAAAGTGCCATTGGGTAAAGGACCATTAGCAGAGTGTGATTACTGGAAGGATCGAGAAATAGGATTGTTAATGCTGGTGGAACAATTGAAAACTCCTATGGCCAAGAGGATATTGCATTTACTGAGCACCGTCTTCTCGCCAATCGCCTCCAACTTTGAATATTTTTATTCAGACTTGTGGAAATGTTATTCCGAAGCCAGGGATAATAATCGTTTCTTGCAGACTATTTTCAGGCACTTCAAGGTAATTCATTGAGACTCATTACATGTCATAAATAATATTCAGATAATGTTAAAATATTGCAAATATTGCAAAAAGAATGATATAGTGCAAGTATTATATAATACATAAATATTGAATATAAAATAATAAGCTAATAATTAAATATAATTATAAATTAGATACATATAATAATATACTTGAATAATAATTATTATCATTGAAGAAAATTATATTTGACACTATTTAATAATAAGATAAAAGTTATTTTGTGGTAGAACGAAGAAAGAGAAATTTGAAATCTACGATTAGTAATAATTAAGACGTGTTGCAGTTGATGACAGAGTCAGATTGCTTCAAAACAATCAGCCAAGCCATTCCTCCGCTGATGGAAGGAATAAGAATGATTTGGATCCTCTCGAGTTATTACTCCCACGAGGAAAAGATGGTGGGCCTGATGGAAAGAATATCATGGCAACTTTGTCAAACTGTCATAAAGCATTTGTCCATCAACAATCTCTTCAAGTAAGTTATCCTAATTATTTCCAATATTTCAAAATACGTTCAAAATTACAAACAGTATTCTATTCAATATTATTATTACATCCATTATATACTTCATATTTTCATCATTTCTATCATTTCTTCCCATCTTTTTGTAATATATTATTACATTCATTATGTACTTTATATTTTTATCATTCCTAAAATACTTTTCTACCTATTCCATATTTTACATACTTTGATTTTTCCCATATTTTAATTTTTCCTCGTACTATAGAAATTGTAATAATATAAAAATTAGAGTAATTAATCTATACACTTCCCACATTACATACACGTTCATGATATTTGTTTATGATCATCCTTTCGATGTCTCCCTTAAAAAATGAAAAACTATTCTATCTATTCAAAACTATCAATTTCAATTTAATTAATTTTGCCTCGTATTATAGAAATTATTAACAGTACAGAAACTAATCTAATTAAATCTAATTAGTCTTAGCATATTTTTTCACATATTCTTTGACACTTTATTCATTTATTAATAATCCTTGCACGTAATATATAAAAATCATCCCTCTGTCAAGCCCGTTCTAATTGAATCAAATCTCTAACCCAGGAAACCTCTAAGAGAGATTCTACAAAAGACAGAAGAAGCCGGCACGATGTTGAAAAGCTGGAAGCAGGCTTACTTGAAGAATCGGGAAGACATCGAGGAGTCTGGCAAAGGGACGCGCTGGGAATTCGATCAGAAGCGACTGTTCAAGAGCACCGAGTACATCGCATCCGTTTGCGACGGTCTGAACCAAGTGGCGAACGTCCTTCAAGACTTCCACAACATCTTCGGGCCCGAATTGAAATCGATCATCAGCGACCCGGCTCAAATCGACACCGTGGTCAAACGAGTCGACAGACTGATCCTTCCGATTCTGGAGGCCGACTACAACGTCTTCGACGAGTACAATCAAGAGAATTGGGAAGCCACTATCTCGTCGTTCTTCGAGGAGGTACATTTCCTGGAGAACGAGGCCAAGTTCTTTATCGACGAGTGCTTCCTCGCGTTGATGAATGCGGAGGATGGGCTCAAGATGTTGCTTAAATTCAAAGTCATCAAAACCAGAGACACTATACATCAGCATCTGTTGAGGAAATTTGACGTTATCATGCAACAATTTAGCAAAGAGGTCAGCATTGTCGAGGGGATATTTAATAGAGGTAAAATATTTCTTTTTGCTTTATCAAATTGTATTTATACAGTATAGTATAAACTTGCGTAGTATTACTATATAACAACACTGTATAAATTATTATTATCATATATAGTATAAAAATATTTATATTTATTAATATGTATATTTATATTATATTTAATGTTGTAAAGCTTCTGACCATTAATTTTTCTATAATATTCTGTATAATTTTTAACAACCAAATGGTCGAAATAGTTACACTTGCAATTGTTTTCATAATTACAAAACATTTGGTGTCTCAATTCTAGCTCAACAATATAATTATTAATATGTATCTGTGTAAAACTTGAATCAGGTCAATGAAAATATAAAAAAAAAAAAAATACGAAACATTCTGAATAGTCCTAATTTAATGAAGGTTTGTAAGTGCTCTATTGAAACTTGGACTGTAATTTGCGAATGTTCTATCACAGTTTTGATATTTCTATAAAATCTGCATAATAAGAAACAATATAATTTTTGAATCATATCGAAAGAAATTATTAGGGAATGAAACTAACTTCGTTTGTCTCGCTGCTAAATAAATAAATTACAGAAATTAAAATTTTCTACGAAACATTCGAGTTGTTAAATGACAAATCGTGGTGTACGATAGGGAAACGAAATCCTCCACTATTAACATACCACACACCGATGGCCGGCGCAATCTACTGGGTCAGACAATTGTTTCACCGTCTGAGGAAGTCAGTCTTGATCTTTCAAAATATTCCGGAGTTGAAGCACAGCAAGTTGAAGATTCTGGCTTTCAGCCAATACTACGAGGTGTCGAAACAAATGAAAGCGTTCGAGGAATCAAAATACCAATCATGGGCGGACAAGGCCCAATTCGTTGTAATAAATACCATGAAAAGGAGTATCTTGAAAATGGCACGTTCCGAACCGGACAAAGGTTAACAATATCCCATTACTATGTTCCAGATAAAACAAACATCGCTTAGAGATGGACAACATTCGCTAAAATGTTTCGTAAATTAATTTTTCTCTGCGGAATATATATATATTTTTGTCCTATCTGTTCGACAATTTTTACAGGTTTATTAACATTCCCAGAAATCAAGAACCTTCAGACAATTCACGCGTCGAAGAAAACGAAAGGCAAAGAATTCGGATCCCTTGGTTCTATCCCTCACAGTTTTCTTCAAAGGCCTGAACCTGATGTGTCGAAACCAAGCATCGGTAACAAAATATTTTCGATCTTTCGATTTCTTTAGGCAACTAATTTTTATTACGCCGACGGGCGTAATATTTCATTCACAATTCTCTTCGAACAATTTTTATCAGCAAATTCTATCTTCAAAATTTTTGTTTTCTTGCGTTTGTAATATATTTCTTGAATATGTTGTAATAATAATAATATTTCGTTCCATATTTTATTTAAATATTTCACTCCATTATTCTGTTATTTAATATTCTCCTATCGTTGTCTTTCCAATAAATTTTCATAATTTAAACATGCTAATATTTAATCTTTCGTCATTGTATCTGATTCTACGATTTTATGAAATTTCAAGAAACTGAAGATTTTCTTGCTACCGTTGTCTTCCCAATATTTCTACAATTAAATAATCTTGTAATTCTTATAATCTAAATATCTTAATATTCCTCTATCGCGTGTGATTTTACAATTTCAAAGAATTAAAGCGTCTATAATATTACGATATTATGAACTTTTTCATGGTGAATTTTTTCACCGATTGAAATTGTTTTGTCGTTGACAGAGACGGCCAGTTCCAGTGGGATCAAGGGACAAGTCAGATCGGAATTAAGACCCGAGGCGAAAGCATCGTTTCCATCCCACAAAGATCAAAAATCGTGGACCTCAACTTCGGAAAAGCAGGTCATTCAAGGAACGAAAATTACTTGGGCGGAATTTATGAGCGGATCGATTCTCGTCGAATGTCAGCTTCGTTTCCAAGTGAATTTCGATTGGGACCTGTTCGAAATCATTCACGAGGTATATATTTCTTTCTAATAATCGCAGCACGTTAATGACCGTCCACAAGTAGCACTTGCTGCCATAATTTTGATTGCAGGCTGAACTGATGGAACAATTAGGTTTCGAATTAATCCCGATAGTGAAAGACGTTAGCATTCAGAAAAATCGGTTGAGAGACGACCTCGAAATGATGGAGAAAGTAATCAACCAGTACAACGAGATAATCGATAAAATGGACAAAGCAGATGTACGTAATACTTAATAAATCTGTCTTGATAATTAAAACGTCCTATCCAGCATTTCTCTTTTTTTCTTCTTTTCATTTTTCGAGGTACATCGAAATATTTCGAGTTTGTTCAAACTTTTATAAAAAGACGTTTATCTTTCATTTTATAAAGAGCTTGAGGTATATTTGCACGTTTATACATTTATTTTATTTTCTAAATAAAATGTCACACATGTGGAATTAGTCCAAGTTTAATTTTATTAAATATTTTAAATTAAACGAAGGAAAAAAGCAAGGATGACACGAAGGAAATGATTCTCGAAACGATGAATAGAATTATTTTTTAAACTGAAACGGACGAAAGTAATTTGCAAACGTTAACAAACACACCGTCAGCGCAGATACAATTGTTGAGGAACACCTTGCTGGACGTCGAGAAGCATATTCAGCCTGGAGTAATGCGTTTCAATTGGAACTCTTTAAATATTTTTGACTACGCGCACAGCTGCGAGAAATTGCTAAAGAATCTAAGCTCGATCGTGGATCAGGTGAATCGTATGAAGAACGATCTTGACAACAGAATAAATAACGACTTGCAGAATTTCAACCTATTTTCTCTACCTCTGAAGTACTACGAGGAAGAACAATTGCTGCCTTGCAAGGTTCGTACTAATATTAATAATTGTATATTACAAATATATTAATAGTTATTCGTTTATTAATTTTTTTCAAAATTTACGTTTACTTTTTATGTATTATGCATTGAAATAGCATGAAATATTTGAAGAAAATACTGCCTATTGCATGAGTCTTTTTTGAAGAAAAATATCTAAATATAACAAAATATAAATGTACAAGAAATATAATATAAATATAATATAAATATAATATAAAATATAAATAAATATGTACTTTTATTACAAAATGATGTACGAAAATATTATATGAAAAGTTTACTTAATCTTTAAAATTTTGCAATCTACGTTTTCTTCATTATCACATTTACAGTTACTACTACTATTATTACTAATATGAATAATATAATGAATGTTATACTATTATTACTAATAAAATAATATTAGTAATAATAGTATGAATAATATATATATAAAATAAAATAAATTTTATTCTACACTTCACACGTGATAATTATATTTGCATACATTTTCGTGTTATATTCTTATGGTTGCAAAACCGACTTTCTTTTTTCAAGTACGTAATATTAATAAGTAATATTAATCGTACGAACTCTGCGATATATTTCTAAAATGGAAATACTGAACGGTCCTCTTTTGTCAAAGACTTATTTCCAAGAGATACAAAATCGGAGAATCGAGCTAGTTGGCGCTATGTCGACGATATATCAGTCAACGAGTCCAGTGCTGATAAAACTGGAAAGTCTAGTATTGGCAACGCACACAGGAAGAAGCCCATCCATGCAGTTGTTTTACGAGAAGTACGAGAAGAAAATATTTTCCGCCTTCATAACGTGAGTTTTTACCAAATCATTAAGCTAATACGTTGTTATATGTTGTCGCAAACGAAATTCATTTCTTTTTTTTTTTAAATTTACTCCCTCGCTTCGTTCTTAAGATAAAGATAACAAAACATTGGAATTATTTGACGTTCTAAATTCGTTCGTTCTTATCCGTTGAATGAAATTTGCCGAAAAGTGAGGTGAGAATCAGTATAAATTATAAATTGTTACTCGTGTTATTCATATGAATCATATGAATTAAGAAATTATCAGTTAACGTTGTTGAATGTTAAAAAATTAAAATAAAATGTTAAAAAACTGGTCAGAATACAAGAAAATAACGATAATATAAATTGCACAGATGCATGGTGAAGAACTTAGAGTGTTTCAATAAAACTCTGATGGACACCAAGCCGATTTTCCAAGTGGACGGTATATTAATTGCCTCGGAAGCGGTTCTGAGGCCATCGCCTGGCGAAATTTACAACATTATCCTGCAAAACGTGAGGAATCTGTTAGAAAAGTTGAAAACATTTCCCAGATGGATGAATGGAACTTGTTTGGAATGCAAACCGCAAAGGAAGAACGATTACGAAACGTTCGCCACGGTTACATTCTTCGAGGACGTCATGAGCATTCAGGTAAATCATTCGTAAAATTTCTTTTTACGAAACAACGCGCGAAATTTTTATTAAATTTTATTCTTCATAAGATTATTTAATTTATCATGATATTAATATTATTTGACCTACGATAATAACTTCGTAAGAAAAAACAATCGATTTAGTCACGTTTTAAAATTAACATCTGCTAATTTGGCAATTTTGAGCTCGTTCTCCTCGAACGTATTTTTGTATTATGTAACGAGTGGTAAAATAGAGATACTTTTGTTCTCGAAAATTGTAAAGATTCAAACGTTTTTAGAAACATTGAAAAATTTTGTTTAATCATCGTATCGATGATTGAAGTGTCCTCTTTTACAATGACTCCTCAAAACTTATTCTAGAAAATTTGTTTTCTTCTTTAACCATTTATCATTCCTCTTTACTATTATAATTATATAATTATAATTCATTATAATATAGTTGTCGAATTAAAATTAATTACAATGAATATATAAATGAAAATAAATCACTGAATTAAAAATGGATAAGTTGAGTAAAATTACGGATTAAGATTGAAATGTGGTCAATTTGTGATTAGCGAATTCGTCGTAATTTTTGTTGTTTATGTCGAGTGCATAATTTTTGTCAATCACGTCTGCGTAGGTAGTGAATGATAATATACTAATGGTTCAAAGGTCGGCGCATAAAATAGCGTTGGACGCTTGGCACTATCTGTACAGGTGGAAGAAGTATAGTAATCTCTGGTCGTTCGACAAGAACCTGGCTGCCGAAAAGTACGCAGCGACCGAACCTACTCTCCATCAATACGACGACAAATTCTGTTTCTACGACAATATTCTTCAGGAAATAACCGAAATGGCAATCCATTATGATCTCTACTGCGTACGGTAATGCTCGTTTCATCAAACTGTCTGAATTTTCTCGAATAAATTGGATAGTTTGAGGGTTGAGGAGGATAAATTCGAATAGTTTGAAAAGAAACTAAAATTGGAAGCCTGGGAATATTACGATCTAATAGTTATAAAAATTTTGTTTCATCGTGATGTTGAAGATTAATGTTTCTTCTTTACAATGATCTCTCAAAATTTGTCCA